AGGCAATGGTCCTAGTTTCCTAATCCATGGAGACCTTCAACTTTTTTAAGAAGTCAGGCCTTGCAAGATATGGGATGCAGTAAAGTCGTAATAAAGAAAGAACAAAAATTACCATTATTAAGAAAAAATCCTTAATACATGCTTATGAATAAATTATGTGCAATAATTCTTAAAACATATATACCGTCATCCATTTGTTTCCCTGCAAAAGCGTGAGGTAAAAGCAATTGGTGTGCAATCCAACATTGGCGCACAAACCCCTCGTGTTGAAATAGTTGGGGCACTCTGTTTGTTGCGTTGAAATTGACAAATAAGAATAACAAATTACGAGTCGACAAAAAAATCGACATGGCCTTTCCTAAAACGTTGACATATTGAGTGTCAGAATTTGACGAAACGGAAATGGATCAAGGTTTCGTCAAAATGTTGGCACTCATTTTCAATCTCTGGAAATTTTGAAGACATGCACATCCTCGATGGACATTCTGACTAACATTTGTCACCTAGTAGTTGTTGTGTAAAGCCTAAACAACAAGCTATAGGGCAGACACAACATACTATGTAAATGTTAAACACTTGTATGATAGTATTACATTTTGTTGCTACAAGGGTACATGGCATGGAATACCTATAGGCTCACCTACCAGAATATCATTTAGCAAAATTGGTTAAAAATCATGCTACTACTATCTTTAAAACATAATCATGCAAAAGATGAAAAATATGGGTCAAGGATGGTCATGCGCTACTTGCGTGTAGCTGATGTAGTTGAAGGTATGTTCCTCGTCTACTCTTCTTATCAATGTTATAATCTGATGATAAAAAGAATAATCCTAATAAACACCAACTTCAAATAAAATCCAATAAAAGATGAAAAAGAACAATATCCAATATTATTGTTAGAAAAATACTAAGGACATGTTCGTAATTAGGTTTGAGGCATGGCTAACTTGGTTGAATTCCCAATCGGAGTGAACAAAGTTTTAGGTACAGTGTGCCAAGAATAATCATCAAATAAGTTCAAAACTAAAATGAATCAAAGTGGTAGGGTTTTGAGAGACTTTTTAAGTCATGGATAAGAAGATGCTTCAGTTCCCACTTGGATTTGAACCTATACGAGAGATATGCCAAACAACTAATTCACAAAACCTTGGATTTGACAATGGAATTTGATGCACGGAAGGTGGGCGGCTGCGGGATGAAGGTGGCGGTGAAGCAACGACCACAATGGAATGTAGCGCATGCACGAGTTCCACAAACACGACCCCCACCTCGTCATGCCCATCGGCTACTGTGCCGACGTCGACTTGTGTAACACCCCAAAAATTAGAGCTTTTTGATTTTTGTGTTGTTATTAACTTTTGACAGTCTTCCAAACATTTTCTTCTAAACTTTGTAATAAAAGTTCACCTCGCCCTTGCTTACACCTGGATCACAGCACAACCAAGACCTGCCCATCTCAATTCCTAGTTATCTAGAATTTGAAACCCTAGCTCTGAATTAACACAAAGGAAACTTCACTTTCTTTGTTGATCTAGTCTACCCCAATATTCGAAGAGCCTCCCAAATCCATATGGATCAAGGGAGTGACACAATATTGCCATGGCAAAAGCAATATTTCTCTTCCAGAGACAATTACAGTTTCTGCCACTTTTGGGGAAATAAATCCAAGGAATACTTAGGCACCTCAACAATTTTTAATTTTAATTGTAGGTTATCATTGTGCCTATAGTATACATGGGAAAAAGATTGGCTCAATGAGGGCAAGGCAAAGTCTTGCATTAATTGGTAAAGCCCGTATGCCCTAGGTTGCTATTGTGAAGGAACTACCATTTTGGTAGCTCTGAAAATTCTCAAATAATTTGGCAGCACCTAGTAGTCACACATGAACAAAATACACCACAAACTTGGTCGTTCACAGCCACACAAAATCACAAGGCAAGGTGGAAAGTTTTTGCCCTAATTGCAAGGTTGTGAAAGAAGTGTTAGCTAGGAAAGTCTCGTGTAGAGTGTCTTGGAGGAGATAGTCACCTTAGCATGCAAACACTCTCTGCAAAGATTTGCAACTTGCCTCACAAACACCTTGCTCTCCAATTTAAAATATAAAGGAATCCAGCAATGTGTCATCTTAGGACAAG